TATTGGTATGCCTTCCACTATTTTAGTATCTTGATCCATAACTGTATTTTCATCGATAAGTCTGTCAAGATTGTCCCTTACTTCCGTAGATAGGGCGTAAGAAACGCGCTCATTTATTTTGACCAATTCTGGGATGTTATTGAACTTTCGTCATCATCATTGGAGTTGTTATAAATTTCCAGAAATTTGCGCTTGTCCCCTTCCAAATTATTGTCCTGTCCGCATACCCAGGGCAGAGAGCAACCCATAAAAACGTTAGTCGAATTAAATGTTGAATTTCTTAACATACTCCAAATTTATTGAAGAAGTGCTCATCGTGACCAGTCTTGACCACCTACTTAAGTCAACTGAATTGGTAAAATTGGTATAATTAAACTGAATATATACACCGATAGAAAAAATCCCTGAAATTTTAATATTTTCACTTAGATTTTAATATTTATGCCATTGATTTTCATCCAAGAGTGGTTGTATTAAAATTGAATATTTTTCACTTAAATTTTGATATTAATATAGAAATATTTAAATTTAATATATTTCATATCTAAATTTAACATGTTTCATATTTAAATTTAATATGTTTCATATTTAAATTTAATATGTTTCATATTCAAATTGAATATGTTTCATATTCAATGTTAATATGCTTCATATTTAAATTTAATATGTTTAATATTTAAATCTAATATGTTTCATATTTATATTCATTTTTAACTATTGGTTTAACATTGGTTATTATTTTGCGTACGCAAATTACATTTCAAGTCCTCATGGTGTGAATTGGTTAAAGTTTTCAACTAGAAATAATCGCAACATGAGTAGAACTGCATTGGTTGTGATTATGCCCCTGCGCTAAGAAAATTTTGCTGTGCATTCAAGGCGGCAGCTGCTGGAACCAGTTGGGAATTCGAGAGACATAAAAAAATAATATAAACATAGTTAAAATAAACACAACAAATATTTGATTTCATTTAACATGGAATATTTAAAATAAAAAGTTTTTCCTTTGGATTTTAAAAGAAAAATTTTGAAATCAAGTCATAATAATCTTCAATTTAAATATGAAACATATTAAACTACAAATTTAATATATTATAGTTATTTTGAAGTATTTTGTATTTAAATTAAATATGACCGTATTAAAAAAGCATTTTTAATACATTTATATTTTAATCAAAGTGAATTCTATTAAATTTTACTATGTTTGTATTTAAAAATGGCATTTTAAATTCAAATATGATTGTAGTTATTTTTACTATGCCCCTTTTCTATCAGTGTAGCCTGTGGAAAAAATGAGAGCGACCCATTTGAGATCAAGAATTTTTATATTTGTATATATGAATGTAAATTGAACCAATCAGAACAGAAAGCTGAATACTATGGGCTTCAAGCGAGTGTTATCAGCAGTTAATCCAGATCAGGCCAAAGCTCACGTTATGATTGTGACTACTCCACCACCGAAAGTGCTATTAATTAAATGCCCACGCACTCTAAGCGCCTGCCTGAGCTATGGAAATTGATGTGTTAATTGTGCCCCGGTAAAGCATGGTACACATTTCAAAGGACTCACACAAGCTCCAAGTGTTGGCATTCTTCGATGCCTCGCTACTAAATGAAATGACATAAATTTAAAGCATCCTGCCACGACCTATGCGAAATTTATGAATTAATAAGGCACGCAGGCGACAAGGTCTGGTCGGTGGGAACGCCATGCGCCTTTTTATAGCCCCAAACCGGGTATGGGATACCGGGTCGGTTGAGGGCCGCCGCTCTTCTCATCCAGTTGAAACTAATTGAAACTGACAGGGTGCCGGTGCCGACGCCAGGCGCGATTCGAGGCACTTTTGTTGTTGCACATGATGATGACAATGACTGGGCGCACAGCGAGGAAATGTTAATCAGACGGGGCCGACTTCGCTATGGCGAAATCAAATCAAGGTAATTTACCGTAAGAGACAAAAAGGCATCATTTCATTTTCCTGCCGTCAGAAACTCACAACACACCCAGGATGGCCCTGGCTCGCCATACTCCGTATGTGTAACGCACAAGGGTATGATGTATTCGCGCTAATGTATGTAACACTAAGGGGAAGACTTCAAAATATGATGTGGAAAGTAAAATAGATTACTAATACGATTGATAGTCCCGATCTGTTAGTCATTTGTTGGTTGTTCCGTTTTCGCTTAAATCCTGAGTAGCGGGTATCATATCCTCTGTTCATGGCTATAGTAGATTGGTGCCCCGTGGGAGTGAGAGTGGAATTGGTTGGATGGGCAGGAGATGGAGTAAGCCAAGCCGAGTATTTGCTCTGCAATTTATATGCGCACAGCAGATACCAAAATTCCCTCTTCTTGGAACTGAATGGATGGAGTGGAGTGTGGAGTGGGCTGCTCCTGACTTACCTTATCCCGAACCCACACTTTGCATATTGTGTACATCTTACGTCCGTACAGTCAATATCTGACATCTTTCTATCGCTCTCTCGCTCCCCCTCACTCACACATACCCACGCAAAAAATACTCGCTTGTTGCTTAGTATGCAGATGGCGAACAGTGCCCTGTGTGCCCGTGTGGGTGTGTGGGTTGCTGGTCGGGTTGGTATCTTCCGTTGCCGTTGCCTCCATTTAGGCAGTGCATTTGCCATTGGCGCCAACTTTCGCCAGGCCTTTTTTTCGCTTTTGCTTTCGTTTTCCCTTTGCCTGCTTCCTTTATTGGTATGTATACCTTTCTGGCTCTAGAGCGCACTTCAACACGCACAAACACAAAAAGAAGAAAATTGCAAAAATAAAAAATAAAACAACAAGAAACAAGAAAGCATTTTCCCTTTTAATTTCAACATTTCTCTGCCTTTCTTTGCTTCCCTTCGTGCTGCCGCTGAGTTTTGTTGCTGTTCAGGACCTCTGGCAGCTTTGGCCCCAACAGCCTCACAGAAATGACTGTTGCCTGCTTTGAATTTAAACAAATGAGGAATTGTTGCTGCCCCTTTAATGGTCGCCTCCATTCATCTCTTTGACTTTCAGCTATTTATATGCACGGTTTTGTTCCCCACCAACATTTTGTGGACCGATGTTTGCCTTGTTGGCCGCAAAACTTTTGTTTGCCATTGTTTGCCGACTTTTCGTTTTGTTTGTTTCAAATGTATATTTGATTCTTTTATGATTTTGTTTACATTATTGTGTTTTTGTTTTTGTTTATGTTTTTTTTGTGTGCCCGTCAATTTTAATGAGCTGTCGTGAGCCGTAAGTCACGAGCCATGTGTCTATGAATGAGTTCTTTGCCGCGGGTTGCGCGATTTATTCCACGAATGAATATTAACTTGGGCAGCAGAATGACCAATTCATGATAATCTAAAGCTAAAGGAGTAGACACTTACGGGATCCCTGTGGCCCATACCACATGCAATAATCTTACGTGTTCTTCGTTTTCTTTAATTTATTGTTGGTTTTCGCCTGTTGCAAGTTATACCCTTTAGATGCATACTCGTACATGTGTTTGTATGTTGCTTAGTCGCACTTGATAGGCTATTTTAGCAGTTTTACTTTTTTGCGCTTTTCTAAATACATTTTACATTCGGTTTAGTTTAGTTTAGTTTAAATTAGCTTTAGTTTTAGTTTAATTCATTTAATAATACAATACTCGTACATTTCCATCCCACTTTCACATTCGATTTGGATTCAATTACATGTAATACTAAACATTTATAAGATACTTTCAATATCGACAATTGTTTTAATATATAATTAGGTATATATGTATATATATATATAGATATATGTATGTATATATGTATGTGTATATTGATTCATAATATCTGTGTGAGCCTCGTCATCAGTATGAATGTGTATAATGCAGCTCGATAGTTTGTTCATGCATATAGCCAAATTATTGTTTACGATTACATATGCAATCCGACTTTAAACAATTTCTACTCGTAGTTTTATACAATTTGCTCGTTTATTTATTTCGTGAGTGCTTCATGGATTTATTCAAATGCGCCCTGCCATTTTCATTGGAGTTGTCCGACGGGCGCATCATTTAACAAAAATTGGTGCACATGGAAATGAGATCAACAACAAACCTATGGCGGGAAAATGCTGAAAATGCTATGCGAGATATGTCAGCGGAATATAGTATTTCAATGAGTCTGTTGCCGCTCCCAAAAGCGGATAAAATCAATAAGGAGAGGCGCTCTCCAACGTTCAGCAAATTTTATTGGGTATGTGTTGTATTCCCATCGGTGTTTGGAAGTACTTTGTGTCCATTTGGTTTTGGCATCTCTCAGTGCAATTCACTAATAAATCGGAGTGGTGGTTTTTCAAAAGCTTTTCACATGACAATCATATCCAGGAAAAGGCCTTGGCCTGACATCTGTCAGAGTTGTAGTTCCAGCAACAAAAATTAGCCAAAGAATGTTCCAATTGACCAGGATGTGAGTAGTTTTTTCTATATTTTTTATCATGTAAAATCATGTAATACTGGAACACATTACATCGCTCTCTGTAGCTGTCAAGCCAAATGTTTATATCATGCTAAATATGGCCACATTTTTGGTTGAATTATTCGTAGCTTTCCAGAATCGGAAACATCTTGGAGAACTTTTGTGGACAACGAGCCGGTCTTGTGACAGCCTTTGTATGATATTTATTATAAATATGTTTCTAATATCGCTTTGCGTTCGAGTTTTATGAATTGCGTTTGGCTTTTTGCTTGGGCCATCATTTTTGGGGCCAGATGTTTTCTGCCTTTATTCTATGCCGCTATGTATACAGATATATATATTTATTATGTATGTTGTTTTTCAAAGTTTCGACTTTTATTAGGCTAATAAAACTTTAAATTTACCATTTTTTGTTGTTGTATGCCCCCTGTACTGGGGTGATTTCTGTTTCTACAATATTTCGTTAGTTTCAGAGAGTAACCCGTATTTCATGTTGTTCAGTGTATGTTTGAGTTAGTTTAATACCATTTAATCGAATATTCCTTACTTTCTGGTCTGTAGACTGTAGACTGTCTGTAGTTCCTTCTCTGGTTCTTATCTCATTTCACTTCCATTCGATTCTGTTTTATGTATTCGAATCGTTTTGTTTATTCTGCAATGCATTAACGGATTTTAGGGGCTAATAAAATGTTCGATTTGTTGTTGCTATCTGCCGTTTCCAATTTATTTTCACTTTGTTGTCTGCTCGTAAATCCAAATTCGTCTTCATTCATCAGCGAAATTTATGCGCAGCAGCTCAACATATCAAATTTGATGGGGCTCTCGCTCTACCCCCGACATTACATAAGTGTAAGTCGCATTTAATTAGCAGGCAAATCGAAGGAAGATATAGAAAACAAAACTCGGGTCCTGGCTTAAGTTTTTCTAAATAATTTTCTAGGCTTACGGGTATGTGTGTGGATTGTTAGTTCAATTGTACATTTGAAATGTTCCCATTTGTATATCGAGAGGTGGGTTGAAACTCAAACCTTTGGATTCTCCTTGGCATTCTGCTCATCACCGTCACCCACTGTTCGTTCCTGTCCAATTTATGATCTCCTATGCGCATAATGGATGTCTCATTACAGCCAATACTGACGAGGCAGCCAGCAGACGGTCACAAGGACGACAGGATGTCGATGTCAGCTGTTGGTTGTTCTTGGCGATGTTGCCTGTGGGCCTCAGCAGAATCCAGGACATAACGAAACACAGAAGGATAGAGACAGCTTGTTGGGTGGGTGTTGGGGGGTGGTGTTTGTGGGCTTAAAGTAGGGACATAGTCGGCTGATGGCCTTAGTCCCGGATGAAGACAAACTCATTGTAGTGGTTCCAGCGATTCTCCTCCGTGTCGACGCCCGGCTTGGGCTCCGCGGCCGAGCCAGCCGTCCCCGAGCCGCAGCTGCCAGCCAAACGATATCCGTGATCGTGCAGATTGTCGAAGGCCTGCTCGATAAAGCAGTGCTTCAGGAAGAAGCGCGAGGTGTAGCGATCGGGACCGCCGTGGTCCGGATCCCGTGACTCGTTTAGCGTGTCGCCGAAGATCTCGCGGCACTGGGCCACGCGGCCGCAGACCAGGATGCGGGACAGTTTGCGGAACTTGACATCAGCTAGGCCGTCCTTGCCGAACTGAAAGCTGCCCCGATACCCAATGGTGATGCAGCCGGGCGGACGGGCGTCCCGCTCCCCACGTATGCAGTCCAGCATGGCTGAGAGCTTGAAGTGCTCCGCCTCCCGCTGCAGGCGTTGACGCTCGCGAAAGCCCTCTGGCAGATTCAGCGTCTTATCGCGCAGGTAGTCCAGAATGTAGCGGAAGAGGACCCCGTCGCGGTCGAGGAAGTAGCGCCCTTTGCTGTCCTTGGCCAGTGATTCGCGTCCATCGCCAAAGAGTTCGTGCAGCAGCGAGGTCTTGTCCTGCAGCAGCGTGGCCAGCGTGGTCGTGTAGCTGACACCGCCAACATTTAGCTCAATGATTTCGGACATAGTGTGGCCTGTCGAGTGTCGGTCGTCGGTTGTTGCAGTGGGTGAGCGTTAATTGCTAATTAATCTGTGGCACCTTCGCGCAGCCACCAACACACATATGGCAGGCACGTACACTCGCGAGCAGCCGTCGTAGTAGCCTTCTCTTCTCCACCCACAATTCTCTCAAGTTCACACAATTTTGGTTTGTTTACAGCACTGGCCTGCCTTCCTACAATGTGTTTTTGTTTCGCTTGTTAGCCGCTGCACGCGTCCGCACTCGCTCAGCTCTCGTGTCGAACTGTGGGTCAGACCTGCTCCTGGCCAATGTGCTGTGCTCTGCTGCTGCTCTGCCTCTGCCACTTTTCACTCGCCCGTTGGTGTTGGTGTACATTTGTGTGTATGCATTGTGGAAACATCCAACAGAGAGAGAGAGAGAGAGAACTGTACTCTCTCTTTCTCCCATTTCTCTTTCGGCCTGCGCACTCGCTGCGTTTGTTTTGATATTGGATAATATTGTTTAACAAGTGGTTAAATTTAAAAAATGTGCACGGATATTTGTGGCATATGCGTGCGAAGGGTTGGTCGCTCGCTGCTTGCCGTGCACCTTCCTGCTCGAATGTTATTAATTTGATGAGGGTCTGCAAGGGTCCGCAGGGCGTATGCTTAATGGCCAATAGGCTGGATTACTGTTCGCTGATTCAGTGCTCTGTCTTAGGCGGAAGCACCAGGTAGACTGGCTTGTTGTTTACCCTGCGTGACACTGCTTAGCTGATAGAGCTGCTTAGCGATGCCCTTTGAGGATGCCACACCGCCAGCCAAAACATCAGGATTCAGCATACGTAGAGCGTGTTCAGTTTTTGAGGATTTTCACCCGAGCAAAGTTCACGTACATGCCATAACTAATTCTGTGGCTATGGCACGCATTGCATACTTTAAGGCGTCGCACACACACACACACACACACACATAGTTCATGCCTCGGCATGCCAACTATTCTGTTTCTCTTATTTTGGTCGTGGCAGCAGCAGCAGCAGGGTCACAGTGGCAACAGGCGCTGACAATTTGACACCGTGACACTGACATTAACATGCCACAGCAGGCAGCCAGCAGCCCAGCACCCCATCGCGCATAGCCCCTGACAATGCAACTGGTTGGGCTGCCTGGGCTAGTTTTGGTTTGGCCTCGTGCCAAATGGGACACCAAGGGCCCAGCCTCGGCTCCTGCAGTTCAGGCCAGACTGCCTGGCAGCTCACCTGTTTGCTGTTAACATTTCATGAGCCCTGCTCATAGGGCTACATACTCGTACATGGACATGGGCATAGGCTATGGGCATAGGCAATGTGCGTGAGTCTCGCTGCAGTTGAGTCAACAACAAGAGGCACAGCGAATGCCTGGCTCAGTCTCTTACGCAGCTCGTTAGCACACGCGCTCTCTCTCTCTCCCTCTTTCAGGCCTGTTATCCCTTTGGAGTGGCGGAGAGTGGGAGATACACACCAATACACGAGCCCACAGCTAATTGCAATGAAGAGAGGGAGAGAGAGTCGCTGATGGCTCCAAGTGCGTTCAACTCACCCAAACCCTTTTTGCGGTCCGCTCTTCTCTGTCCCTTGAACTGAACTTGTTTGCCCATCTCCATCTCGCCTGCTTGCTCGACCCATTTCCGTTTCCTGGTGTGGTCTCTCATTCCCTTTCTATCACTCGCTGCCTAATGCGCTTCCTTATCAGACGCCTGCCCTGCCCTGCCCCGGCCCGTCCAAGCATTCGCGGCCATGAGTTTGTGGTTTTTGGCACGCATTAAGATGGCGCAACACTTTACGCGCCATTACGCGTTGCCTGCATCTGTCTGTATTCGTGTATTCGTTTATTTGTGTGGGTGTGCGTGTGTGTTTGTGTTTGTCATGGAGAGAGGAAGAGAGGTCTTCAAATTGTGTGTGAGTTTGATTGCTGTGCTCTCTTGTGGGTTCTCCCTTTGCTGTGGACTCTGCTCCTTGTTTGTCTGGCTGGCTGCCGTGGTTCAAATTGATTTTGTCTGGCAGCCCGTACACATACATTTCGCAGCGACTGTCCCTGTGTGTGCTCTTGAGTGTTTCTATGTACAGGAGCACTTTGTTTTGACAACGCGCCAAATTGTCGCCCTTCACTCACCGAAAGCAGCTTGCATGCTATTTCTGGTTTGTTTCTTTGAATTTCCAAAAGGGTTGCAAGGGGTCCTACGAGCACAAATGGAATGAAATCTTAAAGAGAGATAGGTAAAAGTCAATCTGAATATTATTCTTTACTTAAACTTCCCCCTCCCACCAACCACCCGAATTTCACTCCAAAAACTTTCCAATGGCATGCTGCCAAAGTACACATGGAAATCCCAAAAATAAACTTTTAGCACAATTCAAGGTTTACATTTGTCAATCAAGCTTCTAGTGCAAATTGTGCATTTGATTTGACTGAAACAGATTGGCATTGACAGCGCAAACAGCAAATCGACCTGGCGCTTGTCAAAATTGGCACGCCCCAGAATACCAGAATGCCAAAACAAATCAAATCAAATCAACAATCAGCACCCACCCATTGATTCAATGCCACGTGCTGTAAGGAATTCAATATTGACTGAAGTAATATTTGCGGCTTAAGCTAAATGTATTCGAAGCTGCAAAATAGGAGTCTTTGTGCAGAAATGAATTTCATTTAATGATTCATTTACAATTATCACTTTTAGGTGAAGCGGAATGGCACAGCACTGTCAGACAGATTATAAATCAATAAATGATTGAACTAATAGATAGTTAATCTCATCCATTAGTAGCTACAAGCTGAATCGCACTTTTAAGCAAAGTGTCAGTCTAGCAATAAGGGTTCCGTTGCTCCAATTTAGCTGTCTGTTGAGCCTGATTGGGTGTCTGGTGGCCGAGGCCGAAAAAAGCACTATTATCGAAATGTATAATAATTCGGCAGTATACGAATTTACTAAAGAAAGAAGTCTTCCAACACTGATTGTAGGCACTACTCGGATTGTATCCCGCTGTCCGATGACGATGACGGTGTCCGTCGGCAACTTGGCAGCCAAGCTCATCTTACATCAGACAAATTGCAACGACACCTAGCAGCCTAATATATACAAATATTTGATGTCTCTGTAAATGCTATAGAGCTCAACAATATTAAAAATATTGTTTTATAATGCGTTTATTAATATATTTGTTCATTTAAAAATAAATGGATAATAAAAATGATCAAATCAAAAATGGTTTACTTGTTCTTAAAAGTATTCTCCGCGGAGATGACAACCAATTTTGAAAACATTTTAACTATTTTCGCAATCTCTTTCGCACTCCTCGTAAATCATTTCAGTTATTAGAATAAATAGAAATATTTCATTTAATGAAAGAGTGATGATATCAGTGATAAAAAGATTAACGATTGCATGCCGAGAAAATCATTGGCAGGTTCTTTGATGCCTGCCATTACGCATTTGAGGTCAAAAGAAGAATTCCATTTGATCATTTTTATTATCTCTTTATTTTTTGATGAGGAAATATATTCATAATGCCAGTCATATTTAAGCCTTAGGTAATTATAAAAAAATGTATGTACGAGCTTGTACATATGTATGTAAGTATAATCGTTAGGTTCTAAAGATCACAGAAAGAGATTAAAATTTCTTTCGTAGAAATGTCAAGAGTCTTGATTCTAGGAAAGAAATTATCCCAATTATCGCAAAACAGACTAAATATAATAGGAGATAAGAATTCACAATGCACTGAGCCAGCCAATATAAATTGATGTGCCTCCTTCAGGAAATTATTAATTCAGATTGGATCGCGATCTCGACAACTACTCCCATATAAAACAATGGCCAACGCAATCCTCCTAGTGTAAGTGAAACTCGTGGTGGTAACAATAAAAAATATACTCAGTTTAATGAAATTGTTCTCCTGTAGTTCCCTGATGGCTGTCCTTCTATGCCTGGCGTCCATTGGGTGCGCTCAAGATGATAGCGAGCTCAAGATCGAGGCACGTCGTTTGATTGACATCTACAATAATCCTGAAGTGGACACTGCCACAAAGTTTAACAATCTGGAGAGCCTTGCCAAGTTTTATGAGCAGCATTCCGATCATTATCCACTGCCTAAAGACCAAAAGCAACGCGCTAGTGAACTTTTGGAGAGGCACAAACAAGCTGCTCTACAGTCTTTAGGTGGTGCAGTGCTTGTCGTCGGAGCTCCCGGTGGACATAGCTGGGAATTATATCCTGGAAGGGTTGTAGTGATAGATGGAGCCACTCGAACAGTGGGCGAGGCTGTCAACCATCTCAAATCGTCTGCAAAGGGAGTGGAAATGAACAAACAGGTCGCTATTTTCGGCTTAGTTTTCCTCGTCACCAGTTATATGTTTAGGACTCAATCAATGTAATCGGCTAAACATTTTATTCTAAAACTAGGGCAAAAAATAATTCTCAAATCTATTTGGTCACAGGGGAACATTGCTATAAATTATATGTGTGGTTACCTTTACTTTTGTTTGCCATATGTAAAATTAGCGTTTCATGGTTGACCTTTAAAAGGGGCTTGGATTATTGATTAGAAAAATGTGTGATAGCTGCCGGCAGCTGCGTGCGTGCCTCAAATGGATTTACAAATGGCTTCTGCTTCTGTTAATTGCGTACAGCTGGCGGCAGCTTAAGGACCCAGCTCAAGTACTTATGCAAATGCATGCAACTGCTGCTTATGTGGGTATTTGTGTTGGTGGTGGTGCTGGTGCTGGTTGTATGCGTGTGCATAATGTCAGCTATTTGCCTAGCAGAAAATGCACGCTCAGGCATGCTGAGAGCGCCAGCGTGCGTACTCTCAAGATACATTGACGCCTGGCATGGCGTTATGTAAATGCAAAGCAAAGGAGAGCACCAAGCTGCTGGGCAATTTGACACCACAAGGGGGCTAGGCTGGGCGGGGCGGCAAAAATTAGAGCAGCGGTGTGTCGTCCATGGAATACCCTTACCCATTCATCACAGCACATCGTGCACAACAGCCACATCGGGCGATGGAGTACTGGGAGCAGGTGAAGATACAGATGCATTCCGGACTAGAGTCAGGTCCGGGGGTTTGCCGTTGACGTTGATTTTATTTACGGCTGACAGCAACAGTTTGCTACAAGCCAACACTCCTCCGCACACTCCCCTCCCCGCACACTTGACGGCCATTGTGTGTGAAGGACATGCCCGAAAGTAAGAACATAAAAACCCTTCGGCAGCATGCTTGCGTTCAGGTGTGTGTGCAATTTTTCACATTTTTGCCTTACCATCATTATTAAAAATAAGAGATGTTCGCGCTCTGCCATGCTTTACATGCTCTAAATGGATTATTCAAAGCCTGGCCCATAAATCTTGTTGGACCTTCAAAATCAAAGAGTGCAGTAGCAGCAGCAGCAGCAGCAGCAGCAGCAGCAGAATTTGGCTGCAATTGCATGGCCCTGACAAGAGCAGCAGTGGAGTGCTCTACTGTGCTGTACCACCAGATGCACCCAAAGCTAAATGCAATGAATTTGTTTACCAGCCATTGTGGGGCAGACACTCGGGCGGGCCCGCCGCCCCCACTTTTCCACTTTTCTTTCGCCACTGGTTCCCTTTCGTTCTGGCTGCACTTATCGACGCTTGTTGCACACCCATGGGGCTGAAACAAATTTCGCAGAAAGCTGTTTTCAATCTCTTTCTCCGATTTCTCCCTTTCTCAGTGCGCCCCAGTGCACTTGGGTATTTTCCTTTTCGTTTTCGGTGTATTTATCGTTGCTTTCTTAAACACACCATCACCCATACCCACCAACACACCGTACCCCAAAATCAGCTACTTTCCCCTGATCCTGATCCTGACCCACACCATACCCATTGGCCGTACAATTGTGCGATGCACAACGTATGCCGTGAACGTTTCGTTCATCTGGTGGATTTATTTTCAAGTTTCTGCACTTTCTGCACCGTCGGACTTTTTGTTTGGCTCGCTTTTACTCCTCGCTCGCTGTTGGATGGGGCAAGGGTTTACAAGGGGCATCATCGTTAAATTGGCGTTAAAAAGGTGAAGAGCTTATCCAATTAATACGGCTCAAAGTTGTTCATTGAAGTACGAGTATGATTCAATTATGGAAACTTGAGCACTTGAAAAACGCGCGAGAACATTTTCATTGATAAAACAAAACCCACTCGGAGGCTATAAATATACGTGGCGAATTCAGCATCAGCTGCTGTTGCAGAAGAAGACCCAGAAACAGCAGCAAATTGCTTGGCCATCCGGATTCGCATTCCCATTTACCATTCGCGGCAGGCGGACTGCAGAAATATGTAAATTTAGTGCGCGGCAAGAAAAACGTTAAACAATCGCACAATTAATAGGAAATAAGTGCGTACAAAGCGCAGAAAATATTTATGCATTTTTGAGTACAGCGGCACTTAGGAAAAACAGAGGCAACATAGGATGTGGGTGCCAGGAGCAGGACCCTGCATCCCATTGTGTTTGTTCCAGTTTTTGTTGCTTATCCATGACTGCCGGTCAGAGCGGACAAATGTTGGTGAGTGCACAGCATATTCACTAATTATATAAGCAGAAATTTGCTGTGTGGCTTAACTGTGGCATGCACATGCAAATGTGCCGCGCAATCTGTGGCATGTATTTTTATACCGCATTCCGCTGCGGCGAATTGGCAAGCCCAAAATATAAACAGAACTCGCCTAGCAAAACAAAGCGAGAAAAAACGTGCCCTCTCCCACTAAAGCACCAAGACATGTACGTACGTATATCTGTGCGTTTATTTTCAGGTCTGATCTACGAGAACACCGAACCCGATCTAGAGAAGATCTTCCATCTGGCGGTAAGCAAGGCCAACGAGGAGAATGAGGAGATGCAGCTGCATGGCGTGGCCGTGGCCATTGAGCCGGGCAACTCCTTCGAAACCTCCAAGAAGCTATGCAGAATGCTTAGGGTGAGTACTCGCTGACTGTTGCTGTTGTCCGTATTACAGTCTATGTATTTGCATGCAAATAAAGCAAAATCTTGTTGCCGTGTTTGGACCCACCACCAATTTGGCTGCCCGTCACGCCATGAGCATCTGCGATGCCAAAGAGATGCCGTTTCTGGACACGCGCTGGGACTTCAATGCCCAGCTACCGACCATCAACCTGCACCCACATCCGTCGACTCTGGGTGTGGCTCTCAAGGACATGGTGATGGCCTTGGGCTGGGAGAGCTTCACGATTGTCTACGAGTCGGGCGAGTATCTCTCCACCGTGAAGGAGCTGCTGCAGATGTACGGAACGGCTGGGCCCACCATCACCGTGCGCCGCTACGAGCTCGACCTCAACGGCAACTATCGCAATGTCCTGCGGCGTATACGCAATGCGGACGATTACTCACTAGTGGTGGTCGGATCGATGGGCACGCTGCCCGAGTTCTTCAAGCAGGCCCAGCAGGTGGGTCTGGTGACCAGCGACTATCGCTATATGATTGGTAACCTCGACTGGCACACCATGGACCTGGAGCCCTTTCAGCATGCCGGCACCAACATCACGGGTCTGCGACTCGTCTCGCCCGACAACGAGCAGGTGCAGGATGTCGCCAAGGCCCTGTACGAGAGCGAGGAGCCATTTCAGAACGGTAAATCACCTGGTCCAGTTCTCACACAGAACGGCGAGGTCTCGCGTCCCAAGGCTCCCCGGGAGACAATTTATGCAAATCCGAAATCTATTCGCATGAGTGAATTTAAATAATTGAATTGAATTGCATACCCATGCCCCAGACGACTGGGGGCTAAAATGATAAATGACGTTATCCTTTATGACTCTTTGCCCACTCTCTCCCATCTGTTCATTTCACAGTGTCGTGCCCTCTGACCAACAGCATGGCCCTGGTCTACGATGGCGTCCAGCTGCTGGCCGAGACCTACAAGCATGCGAACTTCCGTCCCGTGCCCCTGAGCTGCGGCGATGACAGCGCCTGGGATAAGGGCTACACTCTCGTCAACTACATGAAGTCGGTGAGTCGTTGGCCGGGGGGTGGGGCCGGGCACAGAAGATGGGAGACGGTCAAATCTGAATAACTCATGCAACTCTCATGGTCTCTCCCCGCAGCTAACGCTGAACGGCCTCACGGGTCCCATTCGCTTTGACTACGAGGGACTGCGCACAGATTTCCAGCTGGAGGTCATCGAGCTGGCAGTGTCGGGCATGCAGAAAGTTGGACAGTGGAGTGGCGAGGATGGCTTCCAGGCGAATCGTCCGGCTCCGGCACTCTCCTTAGAGCCGGATATGCGTTCGTTGGTGAACAAAAGCTTCGTCGTCGTCACGGCCATTGTGAGTGTGGGTTGGGTGTGAGCTTGGGTACACTCTACCGCCTCTAATGGCTTCCTTTTGCACAGAGCGAACCTTATGGCATGCTGAAGGAGACATCCGAGAAGCTGGAGGGCAACGATCAGTTCGAGGGCTTTGGCATCGAGCTCATCGATGAGCTCTCCAAGAAGCTGGGCTTCAGCTACACCTTCCGCCTGCAGCCGGACAACAAATATGGTGGCCTCGACCCCAAGACGGGTGAATGGAATGGCATGCTGCGGGAGATAATCGACAATGTGAGTTGTGGGTGGCTGCAACCGTGCGTTGACATAAATCTAATTGAACCCCGTTGGGGCCATTTATCGAGCTTATTCCCTTGTTGAACTTGTCTGGTTATTGATTTATATTTAATGGCCATAAATGTTGCCATCATCATCATCATTATCATTTTAGAAATGGCTTTTATAAATGTCGCAGTATTTATAGTGCGTCAGTGGCCTAGCAGCTTGATAGAGGTTGCCCCAAATTAATATTCAGCATAATTCAGACACTAAAATCTGTCTCTTGCCAGAGTTTCTCCTTGGTAATTTATCTTCACAGCCCATTATGAGCTCCCAAAGAGAATTAGGGGAACAGTTTTTGGTTTATTGAGTACATAAATGGGTGCAACTTTTCTATTCCTCATCTTTTGGGGTTATTTTTGTTCAAATGTAATGGGCGAATTCATTGAGTAGAGCTTTGGCAGCTTCCTTCACTTGGTCAACGCCATCCTGAGCAGGCAAATCTTCTACGTAAGGTTTTCCCTTTCAAATTTACTGATTTACCGATCCAAAACTACCTCCTCGTCATGTCTGTCTACTGTACAATGAGACTGCCTCTCGTACAGCGCAATAGCCGCTTTGGTGTAGCTTAGCAGCTCGGCTTCAGCTGCATGATCGGGCTAGAGCTGATGCTTAGGCCTGTTGTCAAATCAGAAGAGCCAAAACAAAATATATTCATGTATTTCTTTCAATCACATACCTTAGGTGGATTAAAGGAGACATTTTTAGCTTTGCTTCCTCCTTAGAGACTTGAGTAAACTGATATTTGATGCTGCACTAGAAGCGCTCTTATCATGAGACGAAGCTCAATTGTTCGTGGAATCAATAAAAACATCAAAATATTTAACTTCGTATGAATTTCGAGGTTCAGAATAAATTCTAT